GGGTGTGCCCTTCTCACCATTGACAGATCCATCCACAGCACCATGTGGCCTCTCAGAGCCAGGCGACGTCTCTCTGGGCACTCGCTCTGCAGGTGCCTCGACAGGATCTGCTGGACACTGCCGTGACATTCTCTCCCGTCCAGATAGTCCAGAACCTGGAAGGCAGAGGGCAGTGATGGGTGCCCGGGTGGCAGGAGCCCAGAGCTGCCCAGGGCTGTGCCCAGGCAGCAGCACAGGGTGCAGGCACCGTCCCAGCAGCGGCTGCCAGAGGGCAGAGAGGGGCAGGCAGGCGGGCCAGGCAGTGCTGGCCATCAGGCTCACCTCCACAAGGAACTCCAGGGCAGGCAGCTCCCAACGGGGGTCCACACTGCTGAGCATCCCAAGCAGGTGGATTGCCAGTGGAGAATGGGAGGAGGTCAACTGGCGGCGCATCTCCCTGTCAGGGGCACAACCATGGACCCTGAGCAGGGTGGGCAAAGCTCTCCCAGCACTCACTCACACAGGCCTGGTCTTTCCCCCGCAGCCCAGAATGGGACGTGGGCACTTTGGCAGGTGGCTCCTTCTGTGCACTTCCCTCTCCCAGCCTTTTGCAATCTGCTCAGCCATCCCTTGGGGCCAAGGCCCTCTGGCCATCACCCACGAGGGCTGTGTGGGGTGCCCTATGCCCAGGGCAGAGATGATGGGGGCAGCGGGGACAAGGGTGGCTCACCTGACATGCAGACCCACTGCAGAGTGGTGGGGATCAGAATTAACCAGTGGGTCCCAGGCAAGCCTGCGCCGCCTTGCCATCAAAATATCCTCCCACTGCAGGCGGTACAGCAGGGCCTTGATGGTCTGTACCAGAAACCTGTGTGCAGAGCAAAGCCAAGGTCATGCTGGGAGCCCTGGCCCCAGCCCCGAGGGCATGGGAGGGAGAGAGGACTGGGATGGAGCACCTGTTGGGGTCACTGGGAAGGCGGTGTCGCTTCCGGCATCTCCTCCAGAACGTGTTCACCTCCTCTGGCACCTGCTCTGTGCTCATGGACAGTTGGAAGAGCAGAGCCACGAGCAGGCGGGGGACAGAATTCTGCACTGCATCCTGGCACTTGGGCTCCTGCAGGATCAGCCACAGTGCCATGGTTGCCTGCAATCAAAGCACACAGAGACAGTGCTCAGTGTGAGTTGTCTCTGTGGGTCCGAGAGTAGGAGGGAGAGGCCAGGGCAGACCCAGGGGGAGCAGCCGGCCTGGTGCCCCTGAACCTGCCCTTCAGCCACATTTCCAGCCCAATGCCTGAGCCAGTGGTGGGGGAGGAGGGAGAGTCTCTGGAGAGGCAATGTGGGAGGAACAGAGGCCACTTATAAAAACTCACAGCCAGGGCAAACACGTCTCTTTGATCGCCGTCAGAGGTGGACACACTGTGCACGGGCCAATCCTCCATCACATTCAGCAGTGTCGGCAGCACCTTCTCCACTGCTGTTCCCGAGGAGGCAATGCTCTTCCACATCATGGCAGAGGCTCTGTGGAGACACAACTCTGGGTCAGGGGGATCTCAGCCAAGGCACCGTGGCCTGGACAGCTGTGGGGGCCCAGGTGATAGAGCCACAGTGCCTTGAGGGGCAGGGAGGGCACGTGGCAGCAGGATCAGGGGCTAACAGGCCAGGGTTGGGAAATAAAGGAGCCAGAGGGTCTTGGAACTTTCCATTTCTCTGCCACACCACATGGGACAGGCTCTACAGGGTGATGGATTCTAAGGGCTGGTGATGGCAGAGCCACCCAGGCAGCCGGTCCCTGTACCTGTCACACTCTGGGGCACAGCGCAGCAGACTCATCACCACGTCACGTGGGTTTGCCTCGGCGAGCCTGTGCATTTGTTTTTGCAGAGTGACGTTGTACGTGAGGTCGTGGTGGATGTTCCAAACGACGGCCGGCACCTGGAGAGGCAGTGGGGAGAGTTGGAGAGCTACCACAATGAGCAGGTTGCCCAGCTTCCCTCAAGTGAAGGGCTTCCCTTCCCACCACACTCTGCTAACCTCAAAACCTTAGGGGGCCACCAGATCCTGCTTCAGAGGCCACAAGAATACTGGGGGACTTAAACTTACGTGCTGCAAATTGGAGACACCTTCTCCCTCCAAAAAGGGCAGGTTGGGAGCCTCAGTCA